CTGAATGGGAACCGACTCGTCGGATGGTCGGGCATCCTCCTCTGGCTCCTTTGTTTCACGAGAATCTCGACGAGGTGCATCACCGCGCCGATATTTCCCGAGTCTTCCCCCCTTTATGAAGGTCACAATAGCATCTTTAAGGTGGACACAATCTTCAGTCAAGTGTCCATGGCTTCGATGGTATTGGCAGTATTTGCTCCAATCTGCCCCGGGTTTATCATGAGCAGAGTGAGGACGCTTGACGCCGCCGTCCTTGAAATATGTGTTTGCACACTCCGCCAAAATGCGCTCGCGGAAAGCCGTTAGCGGAGTGTACTTAGTAAACCTCCCTGAGGGGCCTCTCTGCTTGTAAGGGTCTGGGGGTTTGTCGTCCATTCTCTTATTGCCAGTTCGTCGAGGAGGGCTGGTGTCTTGTCACGGATTTCTGGTTGATCCGCAGTTCTTGGGGTCCCGGGCTCTGTTGGCCACTTCCCTCTCCTCGTAGTCCATGTAGGCTCTGGCTTTCTCGAGAAGGGTATCGAATGTTCGGGGCAGTTCGATGCCTACGTCCTTTCTGAATTATGTTCCCAGGAGGAGTCCCCTCTCGAGCGAGTATCTCTTCATGTGATCAGTATAGAGGACCTGGATGGCCTCCCAGTTGAACCGATCAATAAACTCCCTCAGGGTCTCATCATGTCTCTGGACGATAGGCTCGAGGGCTGCTTCAGTTTTTGGGTGCCGTCGCGAAGCAGTGAACAAACTGATGAATTGGTTCTTTAAATTTCGTCAGGAGGTAATTGACCCCGAGGCGAGACTCTTGTACCAGTCCATCGCATCTTTCCTCAAAGTCGTGGGGAACAACCCGCATTTGATTGGTCCCCCGACATTGTGATAATGTAGAATAGCCTCGAACCCGTCTATATGGTCGACTGGGTCAGCGATGTTGTCATATTCCTTCAGGTGGGGAGGCTTCTCCATGCCCGGGGGGATGGGTGCCTCCATAATGGCTTGTGACAAGAGACCGTAGGGGTCGTCTTCGTCACTCCTGTCAGGCGAGCCAGAAGGGGATCTGATGTAGTGGCGGTTATGGTGGCCCTGGTCGCGTGGAGCGTTCCTCGGGCAGTATGGTCGTTCGTTGTTTCCCCTATTCCTGTCTCCAGGGGGTCTTCGTTCTTGACGCGAGGGGACGTGATCGCGTCTCCCCGTATCAACGGGGTGGTCCCTTTCAAATCCGGGGCGTCGCCCGATTGGTCGGGGAGAAGGACTTCGAGAGACGTCACGACTACGTCTCCGTGAGGGAGATCGGGGACGTTCCTCTACTTGGCAATGAGGAGGAGACTGGGGCCTCCTGTGTCTTCTGGGGGCTCTCCGAGCATCTTCGAGCGCCCTCAATCTCTCTCCTTAAGAAAAGATCAGGTAGTTGGTCTGATTTATCGCTGCAAACAGTGCCCTGGTCGTGGCGTCTGCTCTGGCGGGAACAGGGACCTCATGGAACTGAATGGGTTGGTAGTTCTAGGGAGGTGGTCGATCGTCTTAGAGTCTTGGAGGTATCAATGATGACGAGGCATTTACTCTGTCTCTATAGTCAGAAGGCTCGGGCATATTAATGGTGGGGGGCGTGTTGTGGCCGGCAGTATCAGCGTTGTCGAGGTCGACATTATTGTTGGTGACGTTGCTGTTGACATCGACGATACGAAAGTTCATGTTTTCTGCAGTTTGATCAGCCATGACAGTAGGGAGTGATTTAGCTTTGGTCTCGAGTAAATGGAAGACGGGGAAGCAAGTTTCCCATAGACAGTGCCACTGATCTTACAGAATTAGAATAAACCGTTACAACTGGCTCAGGCAGAAGTTGAATGAGATGGGGGGTGGGTACCTGCAAGACACTCCGATGGCAAAGTAAGTTTCAGAATGAGCAAGCAAGCGTAAGAGTTAGAAAGTGTTGAATACCTGACCCTCTCAGAAGAGAGTGTATTTATAGCCCCAACGTTGGGCCAAGGTCCCCATTATTGAGCCACGTTGAGGCCCAATAATGGAAACTGTCAGGGATTACGTGTGTATGGAGTCCAGCAAGTGGACTCCCCCCTGGTCAACTGCTCTGTGAGAATAGGGTTGGACCCATGATTCCTGCAGGGCAGTTAAGATGTATGTCATGAGGACATGGGCCACGTCCCCCAACTGATATGTGGGGAGTTGCCCAACGGTCCCTAACTTGAGTTGTTTATTTTTAGGCTTCCTATTCGAGGGACAAGCGTGGGTCCAATCCAGATCAGAAGGTATCTTTGGTCTTTAGTTTATGTGGAAAGAAAACGGGAAGATGACTTCCCACAGACGGTACCACTGATCTTATCAGTTGATCATAACCTGCAAATGAGCCGAAGGATGATATCTAGCTTTCTATAAAGTTGAGGAGAAATGGGGGTTATACCTGCAAAGCACTCTGACAATAAAGTAAGAATGGATGCAAAGAGATACAAGTAGAATATTAGGGTTTTAGTGATGAATATTGGATATCTAGCCCTCACAAGCATGAGGGTTTATATAATTCCCCCATCGCGTAGCCATTGGTTCCTATTTTTGGATCTAGATATGGGGGTCCGCAAAATAGGTAATGTCAGGACTGAGTCAAAATGGGAAATTGTGCCTGTAACTAGCCGTGCATCGAGCAAGATCGAGATGACGGGCATAAGCGTTCATGAGCATTTCCTGGGCGTCTGCTCCTCGTGTGTCGAGCAGACTGGGAGGTAGCTGCCTGCACAGATAGGTGTGCGTTTCAGGCATTGGTGGTTGTGTTGTTCAAAGGCGTGGTCGGCCATAATGCTGGACCAACATTATTAGGCCGTGCCAAAGGTGGAATCAGATTGAGCCAATTCTAGTCATTAGGTCAGTCCATAACAAAGTGTATATTATATGGATGTTTGTAAAGGTTTGTATGATCAATTAGCGAATCGTTGAGTTATAATAATGAAATATCGATGGTATAACGAAGTAACATGATTAAGTGTATACAATTGTGCAAATGTAAAGTTATTGATGTTGATGTTGGTTATTGATTATTGTGAATGATGAGTAATATTATGTGTTATGACGAATTTTGATTATGTTATTATGTTAATGTTGTTACGATGATGTTGCTAAGATGGTGATGTTAATGATGTTGCTATGGTGTTGATATTGATGATGATATTGTGATATATATATATATATATATATATATATATATATATATATATATATATATATATATATATATATATATATATATATATATATATATATATATATATATATATATATATATATAATGTTGATGATGTTGTTGATGACACACTTGACTAGCCGAGGTCGAACATATGTGTGATGTTGTTGTTGTATGTTGTGAATCATGCATATGTGTTGTGGAACTTGTGTTCTAAATTATGTTGTGGTCTTATTTCCTATGGTGATGGTTCAAGTGCGAGTAGCTAAATCCTTTGTCCGGGGATTTAGTGAAGCATTACCTATGATGATGGTAACGATTTGGTGTACTCCAGTTTCAAGAGGGAATGATAATGATTGTGGAATGTGATTGTGGAATGTGATTGTGTTATAATGCTGATTTTATATAATTGATGATTAAATGTAATGATAGGTAATTGATGTTGTGTTGTGTTCTTGAGTTTGGTTGAATTTAGATGCTTTAGGGTATGAGTTTGATACCTATCGCATGCTTAATTCTATCTTTCACATTTCTGGTTATATGGCACCTAAACAATAAAGCATATGATGTATGAAACACATTTGCAACCGAATTCATCAGCCGATATTGTAATCGATGACAATCATTTGTGACATATTTTCTTGGTTTTCAAAGTTTTCCAACATATTTCAGAGCTCATAAAATATTATCCTCTTTTTCACATTTCAAACACACTAAGTCAACTGAATGAGTTATTTTTGTAAAAATAACACCAATAATTACTAGAAAATGAAACGTGTGCTTGTTGATCTTATATATTAAATCAATTATCATCACAATTGAAAACGTGTTGACCAATTTAATGAAATTAAGATAAGTCATAAATATATCTCAAATAATTTTTCCATCCTCACACACTTTATAGCTAGATACATAATAATCATCATCTAATAGTTTCAACAATAATTATGTTTTTGATCTTATACTTCTTATAGCCTTATTGCTTCGGATGTGAACATTATCCTTGTCTAAATTATTGTTACTTTTTGTATTAGTTGAAGTTACAACTTGACTTATAATAATTTTATTTTGCAAAAGCCATAATTGCAATTATCGCAAAACAATGCGGTAAGTAAATTGAATAATATTTTTTGAGAATCACCGATAAAAAAAATTAGAATATATTCACTCAAATAAATTAGTGGTCTTGACATTGAAAAAGTTCAATGATATTAATTTTTTGATTTATTTGAAAAAAGAACTACCCTAATTCTCAACAATTTTTCAATTAATATTATCATTTTTTTTCAATTATTAATAAATTTATTTTACATCTCACATCATTCTTGTACATATTTTAATAGAATCATTACCCTTCAAGTTTAGGATTAGATACTTCACCCATTCCATTTACTAGTAATTTACTATATTGTATCGGGTTAATCTTGTTTAAAACAATGATTTTTTTCTTACTTAAAGAATGAATAACTTATTTTACATCAAAAAAATTAACCAAAAATTCTCATCATACAACCGAAAAAACTAATCTCTCAAATTAAATAAGAGAGCACTTCAACACAAATGAGATAGCATAGATTAACAGAAAATAAATTAAAATACAATACCAATTACCAAATTTAGAAATAAAATTTTCCTTCCAATTTTACCCTTCGCCTAAACTTTTTGTTACCACGTTACCCTTCCTATCCAACCAAATAGCTTTGTTTTTTTTAAATTATCGAATAAAATTTTACAACTTCTATTATTTTTATAGACAAATGACAAAACAAAACAAAAAGTTTATTAATGCACTTTGCATAGAGAATTATGCTATACTTGTTCTTCAAGCTTTCTTGTGTTTTACGACTTTTTGTGGAGGAGGGAAGACAACACGAAACAACCAAGCAGCAAGTATTGCTCCAATGAATGGACAAATCCAATAAACATAGAATTGATCCCATGTGTGGTGCCAGTTGTCTAAATATGCCCAACCATATGCCTGCAAAACAATAAAGCAACATACCAATAATGAAACACTAACACAAACACGGAATACAACATATATAGTTACCTGTCATGTAAGTGTCGGACACATAAAATGGTTATAAAATGGTTGTGTCTGTGTCATGTAGGTGTTGGACATAGATTGGGCCGGCCCAAGGTTAAAGCTACTTAAGATAGGACTTTAGGCCTCAAAAGTTTGGGCTTAAAAAATGCGGATGTGTATGTGCTTCATAGCTTTAATATGAAGTGTCGATGTTACGTAGAAATGCATATACAACTACCGACCTTGTGTAGGAGTAGGAAAAAGAAGCGTGACAATAATGTTTTCTTAAGTTTCATACAAATTCAATAAAGCAGCCTACAAAATGGTCGATAAGCAGCTTAATTCTAACAACAATGAAGGGATCGAACACTTTTATAACATAAAAGCTAAAAAAGGGTGAAGGAATCTTTTTAAGAACAATAAAAGTAGAAAAGAGAGAAAAAAAATTGGAACTAAAAACACTTTGAACCAATCATCAAGTTTCAAACTGTAATGGTTGGATTCCAGAATAAAGGTTGCAAGAACAGAACAGGTGAAAAGTTTCAGACAGGTAAGAAAGGGATTTGAAAATTTTCGCCACCCTCGTGATAGGAAGATGTATATCTAACAGGTAACACAAGCTATTCAGACAACAAAAAAAAACAACGATAACAAATGGCAAATGTGAAAATTGAATACTTACAAGGATAGGATTCATGGATGGTCCGGTGTAAGCAGTACCGGCGATGATCACAGCTACGGTGGAAATAGACATCATCAAAGTCTTGATGAACTCACTACGAGGACCTTTGATTATGATGGAGAGAACAAGAAAAGTGATTACAAATGTCAACACTCCTTCTGCAATAGCTCCTGTATGCAAATCAACTTTCAAAACAGGTCCTCCAATCATGTGCAGATATTTTGGTGGCATTACTTCCTTAATTGCCATAGCACCACCCACCGCACCTAATGCCTGTGTAACATCGCTCGTTAAAAATTCACTTCAATCGATATAAAGATTAAGTCACAAGATAACTAAATAAAGTAGTGCATGGTTTTAAATTGCAGTCACGGTTGTTACGTTACACGTTACACTTCATAGAAATATGTGAGTCATACTACTACAATTGCCATGTAGTTGAAGAAATTTCTGAAAACACGCATAAGTTTTGAACAACATTGGTTTTGTTTTCAATGAAATCTACATGTACCCTCCTATCAGACGGAATCAAGATCAAGACTGAAAGAACAATAACTATATGACATCTCTTCTATACAAAGATCTCTGCTAACCAGTATCCATGCCATATAACATGATGTCACTAAGCCAACCTATTAGGTTTCTCAACATACATATAATACTATATCTTTATCCGCGACTTAGTTTGGAGAAATCTCAGCGTGCCACCGTGATTTTCACAAAAGCTACAATTGGAACAACAACAATCAATCAATCAATCTTTATCTCACTAAGTGGAGTCGGCAACATGAATCAATTTCAGCCATAAAATTCTATTCATGACCATGTTCCTATACAAATCGTTAATTTTAAGATCTTTCTCATCAACCCTCTCCATCTGATTTCTTCTCCCTACCACAAAAACTTCAAGAAAACCAAGTCATCATCATCATCATCATTTTGTCAAACTTATCCTAATCTACAAAATACTAACACGCCGACACGTGTAATCACACGTGTTGGTGTCATGTCAGATATAGACACAGACACGTGCAAGACACATAACACCTTCAATATGAAGTATCAGTGCAACGTAACACCAAACATGAACTAAGAATCTTAAAATCACAAACATATACCATACTACCCATGTTACTAAAGTTCGAATCTTGAATCTATTCGCATATTCCTTTAATCAATTAAAAGAGATGCATGAATCTGATCACTCAAAAAAGCAGCAACAACAAAAAAGCAACAAGTTTCACCACACAAAACCACAACCCTAAATCGAAAAAGAAAACCCTTTACCTGAGCAGGGAAACGAATAGCCATAGAGAAAAGGGTATCAGAGCCAAGGCCAGCAGCATAGAAAGAAGCATTTCCTGTAGGATTGAAACTGGCACCACCCATAGCATTACCAATAGCAGTGAAAGTGAATATAATAAGAAAAATTAACAAAGTAGTGATTATAATAAAAGGGTAATTAACACCATTGTATGTCACAAATTCAAGATTAAAAGCTTTCAGAATTTCTGAAGTGACTAATCCTAGGGTTGAAGAAATGAAAATCCATATGAAGGTTAATACTGCATCACCAATTGCTAATTGTATTGCATTCGCCATGATTTAGATCTCTTTCTACAATATCATATCAACAATGTTTTTTGTATTGATGAGAATTGATGATGATGCTCATGATAAACAACTAAATGACAAAAATAGAGAAAATTAACTACTCTTGGGACCCACGCTGTATATTTTAAATTATATATATATATATATATACTGATTTGTATAGTAAATTAATTACTGATTGATTCAAGGAAATTATTCACAGATTAGTTTTATTTCCACCAAAAATTGAATTCAATTAATAAATATTTTATACTTAAATTGTTCTTTTTTTTTTTCTTTTTTTTTCAAGTGTTGGTCGCATGAAACTAATGGCGGGCGAATGTTGCGATCAGAATTGATGTCGGTATGCCATTCAAAAATAAAATGATTCAGGTCGGTATCCCTTTCAAAAATGAAATGATTCAGGTCGGTATGCCATTTTATTTAGAGATTAATTAATTTTAATATGGCAAATAAGTTATAATTAGTTAACAATGTTTGGATCAGATGTTAAGACTAGTCTCTTTTTGGGGGACAATAGGTCCATTTGAATCGGTTTTAGATCGAAAATTTAAATCTCATGTAAACCGCAATTTCATTTTTAAAGTTTAATTTCAATCTTTAAATTTCGTTTTTTAGTAAGTTCGATTAAATTAGTTTGTCGGATAAATTACATCAATTTAATTGATTTATTATTCATTAAAGTAAATCTATAAAAATAACTTTTTTTTTTATAAAATTCACTAACAATATTTTTTTATTTAAAAAAACAAATCAAAATTTAAAAAATAACTATTTTTTATTATTGAAAAAAAAGTTATTATTGCGTGATAATATTTTCAATATTATTTAAGATTAATTTGATCATTTTCATATTTTAAACTATAAATTAAATAATATTCAAAATCTTATATTATGTCTTGTATTATTGTGAATATATAATGCCACAACTAAACTATAAAATGTTAATAATTTGACAATATTATGAATATCATTTTTATAATTAGTCAGTCTTACAGTAATAAAAATAAATAAAATAAATATTAATTAAGTTTGAGCAGTTTTAGTTTTTGACAAATTTAAAATAATTATCCGAATCCGACTGAATCAACCTTATAATATCTATATTAAGCAATTGAATCAATTCGACACTCGACTCAATCTGATCTGTTTACACAAAAACGACCATGAATCGGTCAGTTTGAATTGAACGATTCAAATTGTCTACTCTAGTCTCTTCTATCTATTTACGTAGCTTTTTTCAATTTGAACAAAATGGCACAGAGGATATCAAATTTATATTAAAAATAAAATTACATTATAATTTCATTTTTATAGATTAATTTGTTGAGAAAATGGGTAATAGTGATGGTGTAAACTAATTTTATACTATTAATCAACCACGATTATGTATCTCATTAAATTAGACTGAAATTTTTAAATTGCTTGTATGATATGATAGAATAATATATTTTTATTAAATAATAATGTAAAAAAAAATTATATACCATCAGTGCATCTCCATTAATCTCTCATTTATTTACTATTATTATTTTTTAAATAATTTAATGGTTAAATTTTTTTATTTGAATGAGTGGTATGTTGCAATTTCAAAATTGCAGTTAGATGTACGTGGTTTAATTTTTGAAATAGATTTTACAATAGATTTAGGTGATTCGGATAAGGGGTGATAAAATAGGTTGCGACAGGTTGATTTGTGCATTTGACAAAAAATAATTAGTTGGATTAAAATTTTAAGTCGCCACGGGTCAAAGTCAATCCCGCTAAATCTCTTTGTCTGCCAAAGTCTGCTTTGTCTATCCTTTTTGTCTTTAAACCAATCATTTTTTAATTAATTCTAATATTTTCAATCTTTTATAGTTTTATTTTATACATTTATTTGTGAGTATATTTAATATTTTTTTAAATAGAATTTATTAAAAAGATGTTTTATAGAAAATTATTGTAAAAAATAAATGAAAATTTTAATTAAAATAAAAAAAATCTATTATTCAATTAAAATTTAATTATAAAAAGTTGTTGTAAAAAATAAGTAAAAAAACCTGTTAATCAATTAAAAAATGAAAATAAAAAAATAAAAAAATAGACAGGCAAGTCCATTGCTCGCTAACTCATCGTTTTGACGGGGAAGGTTAGATTTTTATGACCACTTTCACTTTACGGATTTGTCTATCTCACTCCTTTTTAGCGCCTTTAAGATCGAGTCAGATAAATAATCCATTTTATCACCCCTAATTTAAACATGTAGAATGAAACGGTAAATCAGTTAAGAAATATATAGATAATAACAGTTTGAAGAGAAATATTATCCTAAATAAAAGATTTTATTAAAATTTAATTTACATAGTCGAACTCGTTTAGTAAGATATTGTTTTGTTATTGGTGATTTAATTCAATACATACCTATGTATATTTTACGTTATTGATAAATACTAAGGTGAATTTTTAGTTACACATGACTTTTGGTTAAGTATCAATATTTTTTTGACAAAATGTATTTAAAATTTTAATACATTGAAAATTAAATTATTATACAAAAAAGTGACGTGGTATTAGACAATTTAATTATGAATATGTACTCGACAAAATTTGATGAGTATCGAAATACTCAATATAAATTAAATTATTTTATTAGTGTGTTGCAATTTCTAATTCTTTAAATTTTAGAAAAATTTGTTGTGATTTTTGAGTAAAGAAATTGTTCTGGACTGGGCCCGACAGGCCCGAAAGCATTACTAAGGCCCAGTCTAAAGAGACTCACTAAGGACCACACTGGGCAAAGGGGGTCACATCCATGCCCGACACCCTGATGTCCACCTCGACATCTCGACGTTTAGCCCACGCGGTGAAGTCATGCTCGACACCCTGCCGTCCGGCTCCATGTCCGGACGTCCAGCTCGACACTCGCTGTTCAGCTCGAGGTCTTGGCGTCGAGCTCGGCACCGTGCTACGCAGCTCGACATGGTCTCGAGCTACCTTACTAGGGCAGACTCAGTCCACCATTGCCCCAACGATACTCCGGAAAGACCGCGTCTCCGTCCGCCCGCACTTCACGCAGCACATCCAGGAAGGGGACCACGTGCTGGTTCCCACTACCCACGTAGAACCTGGCAGTTCCTCCATTGGGCCAAATCCGCCCGGCCCAATGAAGGAACCTTGGCCCAGCGCTGGGGGCTATAAATACCCTCTGTTTCCAGAGGGTCAGGGATTCATCATTCTAACCTCAACTCTATTATCTGCTCGTACTCCCACTGACTTTAGCATCGGAGTGCCTTGCAGGTACCCCCCCCCTCCTCGTTCAAAAAGCCTTCAGCTCGGAGTAAGCCGTGACGGTCCAAACCTTCTGATCAGGTCAGATCAGTGGCGCCGTCTGTGGGAAACAGCTTCCCCGTCTAACGAACAGTTTCAAAGACCAAAGCTCAATCCATTCACTGTCATGGCTGATCCAACTCGTGAAGAACAACACACCCGCGTCCTCGACACCAACAACGGTCCCGCGGACAAGAATGGGCACCTGGACAATCCCAGTGATGCCGGCCACAATACCGTCCCCGTGACAACCGCCCCTGGACCTTCCACCCGCAGGGACGGGAACACTGCGTCCTCCTCGACAACTCCTCCAAGACTCGAAGACGACCCGGAAGCCCTCGCCTACCGCAGAGCTGCCCGGTTCCATGAAGTCCCAGTTCCTGCCGGGGCAGATGCCACGACTCAGGCACTGTTCGCGGCCATCAACCAAACAAATTACCTCCTATTCGCCCAAGGAGAAAGGCTAAGGGCACTTGAAAATGATCGACGCCCCCCGAGGAGACATCAAAGGCCACCATCTCCACCTCCTCGGGTCGAAGAAGTTCGACACCCTACTCCCCCGCGGAGACATTACAGGGAGAACTCTAGGAGCCCTTCTCCCCCACCAAGGCAGAGGCGGCCCCAGTATGAAAGACAGCCCGTCATCCCTGCCGAAGAGCCCAGTCGCGACCCATCAAGGCACGACAGGAGGCACAACAGAGACGGGCGTGTGACCTTCAACCACCGAGCATCACGCTCGAGGGAATCTCAGCACGACCAGCGTGCCAGACATCACTACAGGACCCCTTCTCTTTCTCCAGAAAGGAGCGACGAGGACGACCCCCGCGGTCCCCTGTCGCAGGCCATCATGGACGCACCTATTCCCTCGGGCATGGAGAAGCCCCCACACCTAAAGGAGTATGATGGAGTGGCGGACCCAGTCGACCACATTGACGGGTTCGAAGCCATGCTCCACTATCACAATGTCGGGGGGCCCATCAAGTGCCGTCTCTTCCCAACAACTCTCAGGAAGGCGGCCATGGACTGGTACAAAGGACTTGCCCCGGGCTCCATCACCTCGTGGCGGAACTTGAAGAACCAGTTCATCAGTTCCTTCACAGCTTCTCGCCGCCACCCAAAGACCGAGGCAGCCCTCGAGGCCATCATCCAAAGACATGATGAGACCTTGAGGGAATTCATCAACCGCTTCAACCGGGAAGCAATACAGGTCCCCTGCGCGGACCATATGAAAAGGTACTTGCTGGAGAGGGGCCTCCTCCCCGGCACAGAATTCAGGAAAGCTGTGGGCATTAAGCCACCTGCAACTTTTGATGCTCTCCTCGACAAAGCCCGAGCATATATGGACTACGAGGAGAGAGAAGCTGCCAACAGGGCACGAGACTCCAGGGCTCGCAATCATGGCAGCAGCTCGAGACAAGACCCTCCTCCCCGACGCACCGGAGAGAAGAGGAAGGAAGACAGACCCCGGGAGGTCCGGGAACAAAGGGGCCCCTCGGGCCGGTTTACTGAGTACACTCCGCTCACGGCTTCCCGCGAGCGTATTCTGGCGGAGTGTGCAAGCACAGATTTTAAAGACGGTGGCGTCAAGCGTCCCCGACCAGCTCCTGCCAAGCCAGGAGTAGACAAAAACAAGTACTGTCAGTACCATAGAAGTCATGGTCACTTGACAGAGGACTGCG